AATCTTCAGTGTTTTTTTTTGTAAAGAATTAATTTTGTATTTTAATTTGGCCAGATTGGAGAGAAAGTGAGAAAGCAAGCCTCCAGATCCAGGTCGGCCATGTGGCAGTCCAGTGCCCCTAACCACCATGCCATCTGCCAGCCCCCAAATCTCCAGATTTCTGATAAACTTCCTTACTACCCTTTTATCTTTCTGTAGCAATGAAGAGTGAATACATCAAAGTATTTCTTTATCTTCACCTTCCAGGGCCAACAGTAAATAGAGATGACAAACTCTTACCTGAAAAACAATGAATTAGAGGGGCTCCTGACTGAGCATGACTGGTGTCAGTTGCCCAAACCTAGTGTTTGGATTGCCGTGGTCTAAATTTGGTGTGTGGAGGTGGGGGAACTGGTGTAACAATCATGTGATCAGATTCATGCTGTTAAAATGAGTAATAAAGGCAACAAATTCTTTTTTCTTTAAAATTATTAAAAAGTACACTGGGAAAAAAAAAATCACCAGAAAAATAAAAGTTGGAAGTAAAATTGTAGCTGGCACCAAGGTCAATTTAAATCTGTACTGAAGGTTGACTAGGTACCCTCACTTAGATGAATGCTTTATTTCAGTCATACCCTGCTCTCAATCCCACACCCCTCTAAAATACCAACCACTATCCCATTTTTCATCCTTCACAACCAAGCTGTTCAAATAAGTTGTCTACATACCCTGTTCTCCACTCCTCAACCAACCTGTCCCCTAACCCATCAACATGGAATGGCCTTCACTTGAACAAAATCATCAGAAATGTCAAGGCTATGAAAGTCAGGGAAAAACTAAGGAAATGCCAGACAGAAGCAGACTAAAGAGATGTAATAAATTATTATGGAATGGATTACATATCAATTGGAAGCTTTTGATAAGAGACACAGGACCAATGACAAAATTTGAATGGGATCTCTGAATAGAGTAATATACTAGAGGTTTCTGTACCACTCTTGCAACTACCATGTATTTGAGAAATAAAGCTAGATAGAACAAGGCTACACTGAAACTCTCTGGCTTACTTCCAATAGGGCAAAATTGAAACTTTACATCACTTTCCAAGATACAGAGTTACTACATAGAAAACTTTAGCCAAGGCCTGGGGCTTGGTTAGAATATGCACTTCGTACATAGTCTTCTTACTACCAGGGAAGTTATAGTCTCCAACTGCTGAAATTTAGTAAAAAAATTTTTTTCTCTAATAGCAAGAGAGAAAGTAAGTGGCATAAATTTCTTCCTAACTACAAGTTATCCAACACAAGGATAAACTATCAAGAGCCTAAGGGTGAAATAGAGGAGCATTTCATTTATTCATGGGTCACTATTAAGCTAGGACTAAAATGGCTGTAAAAGCAGATCTGGAAAGGTCAAAATTCTGTAAGGGACTTACATGCAGCAACCATCTCGTGGAAAAATCCCATGAAGCAAGATCTTTTACTCAAATAGACATACATTTTGGGTGAACTGTTACACAGCAAATAGTTGCATATAAAATTTTAAATGTTTTATGCACTTCGAACCCCTTTTCTATCTCAAAAACTCTTTTGAGCAATACTATAAAACTGAAGTCAGTAATTAACTGTAGAAACTCTAAGAACTATTGTTTCTCTCTTCTCACTGGATTTTTGAGTCAATATATTTCATTAAAAGCAAATTTAGGGCCAGCTCACAACATGGTGGCTAAGGTGGCTGGATCTCATGTGACGAACTGTGCAGTTCAAGTCCCAGACTTGACAGCTTGAGAAACACACTGGGTGCCCAAAATGGCAGGAGGAAGAAGTGGAGAAGGGACTGCAACATGGCCATTCCCCATAAAGAGTACTTTCTCACTTTCTCTTTCTCTCTCTGCCTCTCCAGCAATCACATGCACCCACTAGCAGATTAAAAAGAAAAAAGAAATTTACGGTTAAGTGGAATAAAATAAGTCGTAAGTAGTTTTCCATGGATCTTTCAATCCCTAAGTTCCCTAAGAGAAATTTAAATGAGACTTCAACATTTATCTAAGCAAACAGACCTTAAGAAAGGCAAAATAGCAGCCCATTTGTGGTAGTGCAGCATTCCATAATGCTGGGGCCATACAAAGATCAGGGTTCCATTCCTGGGTTAATCTATACTGCCCAGTGCACACAAGCCTGTGATCTTGGCAGGCTGGGAAGGTTGTAGGGATAGTATCATAGCATAAGACCCTTCTGAAGGATGGGACCTGCAGATGGCATAATGGTTACATCACTGGACTCCCACATAGTCAACCATGGTTCAAGTACCGGACCTGGCAGCTGGAAACTCACATCAGGGGCATGTGTGTGTGGGCCTAAAATCATGTGCATGCATGTGTGCATGCCCAAAATCCTGAGAGGAGGATGGAGAAAGGATTATGGCATGACCATCCCCCATATGGAGTGATTTTTCACATTGTTCCTCTGTCTCTCTGGTAAGCACGTACATCCTTAGCAAAAAACCTCTCTTTAATAAAAAATTAAAAAAAAAAAAAAAAACCTTCTGAAGGCTAGCCTATCTCTGCAACCCTCTTTCTCTCTCTCATGAGAGAAACTTAAAAGGATGGTACAGACAAAAAGACTATAGATGAAAACGTAAGCTTGAAATACCCAAAAGAATTGATTATACACTTAAACATATAAAATAATCACCAGACAGCAAAGCACTTATAAGGAAAAAGAAAAGGCACATACACTTTGGTATTTCCATTTTTCCACTTGAATCAGGTAGACGGACACAACTGGCCCACACCATCTGTTCCCAGAAGGCCTCGGAAGATTTAACATTCTAAAGCAAACCCACACTCCAAGACATGACACAGAAAGGTATTCTACTTGTTAATAAAACCCCTTCAACAGATAAATTATACATTCATTCTTAGGTTTGTGAAACTGGGATAACACAAAACACATATTTCTTATTTTTATTTCAACATTTAAAATATTCACAGATGGTATATTATATTCATTGACATCTCCATGGAAGATGTACTAAACAAAGCTTACAGGCATTCCACAATTACAGAATTACAAGTTTGTGACTATGTGAATTCTTCTCTAGAGTTTATCTGGAAAAACCACGACTTCAAAACACACACACACACACTTTTGAGTGTTTCACTGGATTAATTTGTTTCACTGGATCAATTTCAGAGAACTGCAAAGAATTTCAGGAGAGATACCTATATGTTAACACTTAAGATTTTAGTACTCTAATAAACCTCTGCTAAGAATACTTTAATATTCTTTTCTCCTCAAGAGCCAAGCCAGGATATATTTTCTTTTGTCTTTTCCCTTCCATCTTTATTTCTAAACACAATAGGTAGATCACCACGGCATCTTGACTAGCTAATGAGGTAGAAGTATTCTTCAAAAGTCCTTAGGCATTTACGAGGCAAAATGAAAGAAAATTATCAAATTAAAGAGTTTGTCTTCTGTGTGTGTGTGGGGGGGGGGAGAGTTGTTCTTTAAATAAAATACCAGGAGCAGTAGAAACTGGTTAGGGGCTGCTCAAAAAAAAAAAGGAGAAATGATAGGTACCATTAGAAAGCCCTTTCTGAGCATAATAAGGACAAAATCTGAGTACTGGCATTAATTAAAATCATTTTTGCATCATAAGGTATTTATGCCTCCAAATGCCACAAAACTTACCAAGATAAAAGTTTAAACAGAACATATGCACTCTTCTTTTTGACACAAGTTGCCTATTGTTTTAACACGGCTTTCATCCTTTTTTATACACACACTCACACACACACACACAGAGAAAGATTAATAATTTTGGTATAGTACATATCCAGTAATGTATTTAAATAGATTTAGCAGTCCATTTACAACCTGGGTCAGAGAAACACTCCTTATGTGAATGTTATATTGACATAATGCTAAATAGCTAGAAAATGCCTAGGTAATAGATTTCAGCACCATCTCTAGATTGTTTCAAAATGTATACACTATACCCCTCCCCCAATTCATATAAACCTAGGAAATGAACCCATATTTCCTCTTCATCTACACCAAATCAAAGTTTTGTGAACCCTTTCTGTGTGCCAAAAATAAGAAACACTTTACCCAATTAAGTTACTAGGACACACTAAATTCCCAAATAAGGGGGAGAAGTTATGAAGCATAATTTGTCTAAAATAGATTGCTTTGATCACTTTGGTACCTATCATTTGACAAAGGCTAAACTACCAGAAGAGAGATTTATTTTACTAATTTTCACCAACTAAGGTTACTGCTAAATATACTTTTTAAAAGTCATCTAAAAAGTGAAAGGAAAAAATACAAAATAATAGCTTCTGGGGAAAAATTTTAAAATGCCAACAATGTGTCCTGATAAATGATTTTGAAATTGAATTACTGGCAATTCTACTACAAAACGTTTTAAACATAGAAACGAGAGCTTGGTAGCAGAATAGTGTAACTCTGATATGGCAGCTTTTAAAAAGCAGTAATCATTTGCATTTTGCTACCAAATATAATTTGTCAATGAGCACCTTTTATATATCTTTTAACCTTTATTACTATTCTATATAAAGTTGTGTCCCATAAATAAGATCAAAATCTCAAAATATTATTTGTATATCATTTAGGTTTGAAAAGAATTCTCTCCTCTTCACTACCACCTTCTATAATTTCAGTTATAGTACCCTTTACATAAAACATTCTTTTCCTAAGGCACACCATGCCCTATTTATTGCTGCAAAGTCCTGAACTATGTGCCTCAATCTGTCTGTTTTATCATGATGATTACATAAAAACAACTTAAGAATGTCTGCTAAAATTTAGTAACATGAAGTCTAGGATGCCATTATCCAGATTAACTAGAAAATAACCAAGTCTACTGAAACAGTCAAAAAAACACATAGGTTCTATATGCTCTTTCTCCTAAAGGCTGACCACATAATCTATCATGACATTAAAGTTTAGTGACATCTCTGGCTACATATAATCCATACTCAACATCATAAAATAAAATTTTAGGCCAGCAAGCTTTCAGTTTTTATTAAATCCTAATAACAATATCTGATTTTATAGACATCATCCCATGGTGAACATGTTTAAATAAGTGAAAGCAAACCAGTTATCCAAGTCAATATTTTCTGCAGACTAAGCAATAACGACTACACAGAACACTATGGGTAATAACATACACTTGCTCAGTTTTCTTATAATCCATGTTATTTATCAAACTATATCTGCTAATGTTTAAATACAGTAGATTAAGTGACTGCAGTTCTCACATAATACTTTACTTATAGAGTACCTTACTGAGTTAACATTGACAGTTTCACTGACTTTCCAAATTAGCATAATTATATTCAAGGAACAAACTAAAAATAAAATGAAAACTGAACACAGAAAAAATTATGTTATTAAGGGAAAATGAAGAAAAGAAAGGAAAGTGAAATATCACCGGGGTGGTAAAGTTGAACAAGTCTAAACATTTGGAAAAAACAGATCAAGGATGGATTTCAAGAATTAAGTTTATAAACTCAGTGCAACATAAATCTCTTTTTTAATGTAAAGGCTGAGCTGAAACTAAAAGTTCTATTAAACTGTTACTTTTGGCCTTACACAGTACCAACTCTTCTGATCAAAAAAGGCCACAACAGTTAAGATTGTATTACTTGATTTTATTTTACACTAGGTACTGGGCACAGAGCAATTCTCCTTAATAAAGTTGACAGTTAGCTTTGCTCAGAACATTTTTAATAATGCACATTAAAAAAAAAGTATTCATCTTACAAATTGTTCTGCACTCCAAATATACAATAGCTTGGAAAACAACGTTTAGAAAATAAAAGCCAATGTAAAAAGACAGATTAAAACAACTAGAACAGTACAGGTTTTTATATGGCTCAGATGTTACAGTTTTCTTACTGCATCATCAATGTCAGAAATCTGTTCCTTCAGCTGACTCCATTGCTCCGGATTTAAAGAAATACCTAAAACAAAGTTTAAAAATACATAATTAGAAGCCTATTTAAACTTTCTCAAGGATTTTCAAGTTTCCAACTAAAATATTGTTTTACCAAATGGCACAATGCTACAATATTGAGGCAAAGTTCTTATATTTGTTAATTACAGATTCATCACAATTTCCTAAGTACATCAACCTTACATTCAGTTTTACTTCCCCCACCCACATTCTCCATAATACCTACTATAGCCAATAAAAACAAGTGATGGTTTGAGAGTAAGACTACAAAAAGTTATGAAAAAATGAAAGTTTATCTTCATGCAAAAAAAAAAAAAAAAAAAGAATCCCATGCACTTTGTTCATGATACCTATGTTCCACGAATTTTCTAAACTCCACCTTCATGTATCTCATAAATACCTATAAGTCAGCAGGCAGGTTAAGTGGCCCAAATCTGGCATGAGACACTCCATTGTTACATTTGGTCAGTTGCAACATTTGCCCCAAAATTACACAGAAATTCAAGATGAATGACTTTGTCCTACATTCTTTACAGAAGCACTCATTTCATTTTGGAAAAATCCCTGGAAAATTATTCATACAGAACTTCTTAGAATGTATATACTGCACAAGAGTGCATCTAAAGTCATGGCTGCCGGGGTTCAAATCCTAATCCATCAATAACTGTATCATCTTAAAAAATACACTGCCTCCTACAATTCAGTTTCCTCACCAATGAAAGGGTACCTATACCTCAAAGGGTTACTGTGAACTATCAGATCGGGTAATCTGAGTAAAGAGCTTAGAAGTCACCTAACACCTAAGTAAAACTTATAAAAGGTTAGATAATAACATCTGTCTTTCTTATTTATTTTTATTGAAGACTTTTTTTTTTTTTTTTTTTACTTTTTACACATGTATTCGAGCGAAGAGACAGAGATAGTGAGACAGAAAGTGAAAAATCACCCCCGGGGGGGATGGCCACATCACAATCCCTTCTTTCTCCTCCCGGGATCTAGGGTTCACACATACATACATGTGTGCCTGGCTAGAGTTTTGGGGTTTGTTTTTTGTTTTTGTGTATTTATTTAATTCCCTCTTTTTTTTTTTTTTCAAATTTGACCAGAGAGAGAGAAAAGGAAAGTGAAAAAGCAAGCCGCCAGCCCTGGGATTCACACTACGGTAAGCCATGTGGGAATCCACGCCTTTAACCACCACACCACCTGCTGGCCCCCTAGCTTAAGTTTTAAGCCACCAGGTCCAGGACTCAAACCAAGGTTGGCCATGTTGCAGTCCAATGACATAACCATTACACCATCTGCTGGCCCCATCTTTCCTATTTAAGGAGAATCTATTGGGACAACACCCAGAAAGTGCTTTAAAGTGATACTGGAATATTCCTTTCCAGGGTTTCAGTCCCAATAGCTGTATTTAAAACATCTCTTCAAAAAAGGGTTAAGTATCATGGCCAAAAGATACATGACATCATCAAGTAAATAAGGTTCTTACTTGACCTGTGTGCCCCATCAACATTATTTCAAGTAAAATAGGTTATTTAGACAGGTTTTTTGGGTAAGATTTATTTAATTTTATTCATTACTAATTTTTTAAATTTTTCTATGGGGCACATGTGCTCACCAGAGACAGACAAAAAAAAGAGAAAGAAAGTAAGAAAGCACGCTGCCAGCTCCGGGACTCAAACCCCAGTGAACCATGCAGGAGTCCAGCACCTTAACTACTACGCCACTTGCCGGCCCCAGAAAGTTTAATTTAGTCCCAACAGCAGGTAGTAAGCCACTCCACAATACTAAATCCACATGGAAAATCAGGGTTTGATTGCTGAGCTAACCTATGTGCATGGGTATGATTCAGGAAGCCTGGAGGGGAAGATTGTGGCATGCAACCCTACTTAAAGTTGTGATCTGACCCTGTCTCTTCCTCTCATGAAATAAAAAAAATTTAAAAGTTTCAGTTTAGTCTAACATTAAACCTTACCTTTTCTTCCTGGTTTCATTTCACCTTCTGGATCCATCCAATATTCCCTGATATCAATTAGAACTTTCCCTTTGAAATCCCGAACACTGACATATCTCATTTTCCCAATCTGCAAAATAAACAAAACATAAAAAGAGGTGTTCCTTTTGACGATGACATCCAAACTAATATTCATGATTTGTTACATCCTCACCCTACTTCTAATCATAAAAAAGACTAGTATCCTATCAAAATTGCAACCAAAGATGACAGTTGTTTAAAAATATAAAAATAAAATTCTAGGGGCCAGTGGCTGATGTGGTGATGAAAGCACTATGTTCCACAAGGCTGACTCTCTGGCTCAAGCTCCAGACTCAGTGGCCTGAAAAAAATACCAGGCACGTGTGCATACATGTCCAAAATCCCAAGAGGAGAGTCGAAGAGTGGACTATGTCATGAACATACCCTCTAGGGGTGAGTTCTCACTTTCTCTCTCCAGCAAGCACACATGCCCTATAACAAAAACAAAACAATCTAATAAATATTCCTTAGCATTAATACGTAGCAATAAGAGTACTATGCATAGAAAGCCAGATCCCACATGGTTGACAGGCGTTCGAGTCCTGGCTTTAGCAGACTGAAAAACACCACATATACATGAGCCCAGGATCCTGACAGTATAGAGTATTAAGGAAAAAAGGATTGTACCATGACCAAGTCATACTGGGGGCGGAGTTGCTTTCTCTCCCTGCCCCTTTTGTGCGCCTTCTGGCATTAAAAATAGAAAAAAATCTTTCTGAAGAGATAGTATATTAAGGGGCCAGTCAGTGGCATGATAGTTAAAACAGGTGGATTCCACGGTCTGGCAGGCTGAAAGTCACACCAGGCATGTGTACATATTGCCCAAAATTCCGAGAGGGGAATAAAGCAGAGACTGCAGCATGAACAAAGTGCTTTCTCACTTCTCTCTCTCTAACAAGTATGTATGCAAATACAAATTTTTAAAAATAAAAAAAGCACACCTCACATTTCTAATCACTTATAAACATTATTAAGTCATTCAATTTAAGTCCAGAGGCCATGGTCTTTCAAGTGAGCCTGAGAAAAGAACAGACACAGATCCAGTTGGAGACGACCTTGGAGTAAAGATTAAAGAAAATAATGAGGTCAACATGGTGGCTAGAGTGGCTAGGATTTCACATGGCCAACTACATGGTTCAAGTCCAAGACCTGGCTGGCTTGAGATATATACACCAGGCTCATGCACATGTGTGTCCAAAATACCAAAAGAGAATGAAGAAAGAAATGCAGCACAGCCATGCTCACCAAGGTGGTGGTGGTGGGGTGCTTTCTTACTTACACTCTCTAGACAGCACACATGCATTCTTAAGAGGAAAAAATAAAATTAAAAAAATAATAATAATAATAAGGTACCGACCATAAGGTATCATACAGAGGCCACTTGACAAGCAGCTGGCCCTGGCACTCCCTTCTCCTATCTGTCCATTTGATTATGCCCAAAGATTCTATTATGTATGTTGCTTCTTAGGTTTCATGTTCTTTCTTCTCTCTTAACTTCAACTCACTTTTATAATTAGACTGTTCAAAAAGCAACACAAAAACCTAAATAAAGTTCCCCTTAAGTTAAAAAATACATGTATTCCCTATATAAGGGGGTCTTTAAAAGTTCCTAAGAGAAGAAAAAGTGGAAACAAAAGAGTCTCCTTGGCATCCCCACCTGCTTATTCAAGCACTCATGTATGGGTGCATACAAAGCAGGCACCAGTGCCTGAGCAAGTCAATGAGTAGCAAGCTGTGGACTCACCAGGATGAGTCTACCAAAAAGCCAGCAAGCCCAGCCGTGATCCCCAATACCTGCAGCCACCCCCACCCTGGCCAGTGTCCCTGCTGTCCTCCCTGACCATGACACTGAAGCAGATTTAAAAAGAATTAAGTGACCTGCAATGTGATCTACCTTGCTCACTATTCAGCTGAATCTGTGGAAGATGACCTATTCCACTGGCAAGCAACTGCCTTGGGGCCTTCCTGACAGCATCTATCAAGGTGGAGTCTTCCTTCTCACTCTACATTTTTCAACAGGCTACCCTTTCATACCACCAAAGAGTGCTTTAACAAAAATGTATCAGCCCAATCAATATAGACGGTAATGGAAGTTATTTGTCTTGATATTCTGAGGTCACAGTGGTCACTAGCTCTGACTGCATCAAAAGTTTTATTGTCCATATGTTCTCTACTTCTTGATCCTAATCTAGATGACCATTTAGTACCAGATATTGATACTAAATCAAACCAAAAAACACAAAGCATGCAAAAGAATGGGCTCAGAAATATGCAATATAAAATAAAAATTTTTCATTATATTCCAGAGTACTGTAAAATCTAGGGTTTTTTCAGCATTAGCAGTAAATTGAGTGCTGTCTACTGTTTTATTGTACCATGAAACTCTCTGATGTTTACCCATTTTAGAAGTGTTTCTGAAGCAAGACAAAAAAACAAACTTCCAAAAATACCCTGAAGACATATATCATTTTGTATGCATTTGAGATATTATGGTTTTTAAGATACTTGGACATCTGCAATGTCAGCTCACAAGGTCTACAATGTAGCTGAAAAACAACCAAATTATTTTTTGCTGAAACAATATTTTTACATGAAAAAATACTGTTTTAAATAAAATGTTCTCAGTTTTATAAACCTGTATTTGGACTTATTAGCTCACTTTATAATTTGCATTTTTTTTTTACTGTATAGACTAAATATATTCTATTTATATGTATGTCAACTCATTACTTTTTTCTGTGAAGAATACTGGAAAAACCCAAGAGTTGACAGTTAAATGAATGAACTGCATCTCCTTTATCTTAGGATATTCTATAGGGAGACTGCAGATTTCTTAAACCTGAAATGATCTTTACATTGGAAATTCTCCGTACACTGATTACGGAGAAACACTTATTTTGACTTTGTTATATTTGACTTTATTTCAATGTGAATTAATTGCACTGTTAAGGAGGAAGATATGTACCTTACCTGTTGCTATTCACATCTGAATTTCTTTCTGTAGAGGCAAGGTTATGTTGATACCTTCTACAGACCTTACTGTAGCTTTCTCCATATAAATAAAATGGGGGGGGGAAACTGGAATCCATGGGTGAACCAGTGGCATTCTGGTTAAGGAATGCTGGAACCCACATGGCTGACTGCAAAGTTCAAGGACACGACCCAATGGCTTAAAAAGAACAGTGGGTCATGTGGATGCATGCCCAAAATCCTGAGAGGACAATAGAAAAGGGATTGAAGCACAGCCATATCCCCTTGGCAGTGCTTTCTCATTTTCCTTCTTTCTCCATCTCTATCTGGCAGGCGCCTACGCCCTCTAGCAAAAAAAAAAAAAAAAAAAAAAATCAGATTTACATTGTGCTTGGATCTGTACTTTTAGAGACACATTGCTGACAGCACTCCTATGAGCACCAAAAAGAGAAAGGGAAAGTCTGACACAAAATGATTTTGTGATTTATGTTCTTTTTTTATTCTGGATAACTGTACTGTCATGATGCAAACAGTGAAAAACTGCCACCAGGATTTAAAATTAAATCACTTATGAAATTAAGATAAAACAGGCTTTTTGCCTCATATAAAACATTGTTTTTATAACCAGCAGACACAATGAAATCAAGAAGGGGAAAAGAGCCTCCTGCCTCAACCATTTTTATTTTTATTTAGCTGATTTTTTAAGTTTTGTTTGTTTGTTTGTTTTGCTATATAGGGTACACCCACTCACCAAAGAGAGACAGAAAGTAAGAAATCACCCCCCCAGGGGTGTTGGTCATGTCGCAATTCCTTTTCATCCATTCTCCTCTTAGGACCTTGGGCACGCGCCCAGATCAAGTTTTAAGCCACCAAGTCTGAGACTCAAATCACCATCAACTACCTGAAAGTCCAGCGATGTAACCATTACGCCATCTGCTGGTCTCCCATTTTGACTTTTTAAGACAGAGGCTCTATCTAAGTAATTAGAAGATAACTCTTCAGTCTGTCTTTAATATCACAGAAGTCATCTTAGGTAGGTTAATTCCTTATGGAACCAAGTTTTTAAAACTCAGAGCTGAATAAACCAAAAGGCAAGCTTCCAATAATATTTCCTCTCTAGTCAAATTTCTGCCTGAATCATTCCAAAGTTTAAAAGACTAGTGCAGTGATTTTCCTCTAGAATGATTTTCTAGATGCTATATCTAGAGAGCTACTTATGTTGGATATACATCATCTTTTCAGAATTTACAATAATTTCCTCTAGTTCAATTTATAACTGATAGATTAGTTTTTGAATTAAAATAAAACACATATCATGGGCCTGGACAAATGGTGACACAACAGTAAAACACAAAGCTCTGCAAGGCAAACCAACATGAAAAGGCTCCTGGCTGATATCTGAAAAACCTACCTGGCTTAGTATGCTGGGCTTGTGCTTGCCCATGATCCAGGTCTGGCTGAAGGCTGGGAGTGGATAATGGCACCAAAACCCTGTTGGGAATACTGTCTATCTCCTCGCCCTCACTCATAGCAGAAATAAACAAACTTTAAAAAAAAAAAAAAAAAAATCCTGTCTTACTCTGCTTCAGGCCAAGACCAAATTTTCATTTGGATTTTAAATTTGTTAACAACGTAATTCTGGTATGCTGGGTCTGAAAGATTTCAACATTTGAAGACCTAGCAATGTCTAGGAGGTGCCTTCAAAGCACTTTTTTGATGAATACAGAAAATATATAGCTCTATAAAAAAAAAGAAAGAAAAGAAAAACTCATACAATACTAATGGGGGACTGTTTTTCCTTCCAAAAATCTCATCTTTCTAATATACTGGGTCATTGGGAAAAAATGCTTCTTTCCATAGAAAAACAAAAATATGTCATGGGACTTTCTGATACCCAATACTTATCAGCTGTGATTATTAATAAAAATGAAGACCTCATTTTAATATTATATAACCAATGTAGTCTAACATGCAGTTAAACTGATTAAAATTCAGTAAAAAATAAAAACTTAATAAATTTTGGCATAAAAATATATTTTTCTATAGCCAAAATATCATTTCAAGGAAAAAGCTATAATG